TATAATACTAACCCTAACCCTAACCCTTGTACCAACAATGATAATTTAAGCACTCAGTACGGAACGTTTTAAAAGACATGTTATTAATAATCCCAATGTTAATTAACTGATCTAAACAACTAAGATGGAGTGTAACTGGATGTGTTGTGACTTTTACGGGTCTACATATGGTCTCATCGAGACATTATATATGTGTCTATCTATCTAATTATGTATGCATTTTTTTGTGTGTGGACCAGAGGAAGAGTAGCTTCGTTGGTGGCAGCTAATGGGTATCCAAGAATAAAGAATTTGGGGTGCCATTTAGAATACCATTGTGTGGATTTGGTAACTAAATTATTTAGTGATACAGCCTACACCCACTTTATTAAAGCTTTAACTTTTGATGCATTGACTGTTGTCAGATAGTGTTTTTTGGGTCACCAGGGGTATTTAGGGGCCCGTCTTGGGTCAGAATTATCAGAAGTACAGTATATTTGCATTAGCTATTAGTCAAGTAGCCACAATTCTAAAAATGTAGAAGAATAACCACCACTGGTATCTATGGGAGGATAGTGTTCAGGACAGAAATTGGATAAAGATTATATGCATGCTGGTCAGGTTACTTTTTTGGTCAGTCTTTGTATTTCCAGATATAGTGATTTAAATTTAAGGCTGCAATAAAGAATATGAATGAGTTTTTACTTCCACAGTTAACTCTACAGCTAGGAAAGTTAAGAGACAAAACCGGAAATTCTTAATGAGATTGTCTGAAATCATTCACTGCACATATAAAGACACATTGGCACAACGGCAGCTCATTTGTATGGCTATGTGCTGTGCTTATACTGGCTCCAGTAAGTTAGTGGTTTTAACGTCTTTGGTTGGCTGAGCAGATGCCTTCTTGGCATGGCCTGTGTTGATGTTTAGACAGGGCCTTTCAGTCCAGTGCTGAGGCTGCTGTGGTGGTGAGGCTGACAGTGGTCACATCCATTCAAGTTGTGTTGTATTGAGTCTTTTCAGTGCAGTGTACTGGCTGTTGGGGGTTCTTTATGGCTGCGGACACTGGACAGGGGCACTGAGTGGAAGGGATTACGCTCTCCTCTGGAATACTAATGACCATCTTTTGTGACAGATCTGTTTCCTCCACCTTCACTCCACATACCCCTTCCTCTCTCTCCATCACCATCTATTTTTCAACCTCTTCCTCTTTCACTCCTTTTGTCACCCGAAACCAATTATTTCTCTCTCTTTTTCCTCCCCACCTCTGCCCCCTCACGATGTCAAGCACTGCATACTCACACATGATCAAACGTGATCACACACACACACACACAAACACACCCACACACACACACACTTTGACGCACCGTACCGCTCTCCTCTCCCCGTCTAAGTTGCTCCCTCTTTCACTCACTCGCTCACCCAGTCGTATTTTTCAATGGTGGCTTTTGTCCCTTTCATCTCCTCGAAAACAAAGAATTCTTGTGCGCACAGGACAGAGGGAAGGAGAGGGATGGAGAGCCGGACAGAGAGGAAGAGATCCTAACCTTGAGTGTGGTTGTCAAATGAGTGGAAAAAGTCATTTCACAAGAGAGTGTGATGGGTTCCATCACTATATTCGCAAGACTAGATACACTGCAAATATTGTTTCGGCTCTTACTTAATACTGATATAGCTTGCTTTGTTAGATTTCATTTAAGATAGTGTCAGTAGATAGTGTTATATAGGTAAAGGTGTGATGTTCTGTTTTGTTTTTCATATCAACAAACCCCACAAAAAGACCTAAAGCAACAATAAAGACCTGAAGTAAGAATAAGTTAAAGCATCTCATCTCATTCTCACCCTCACTATTGTCCAGAAACAATTAAAAACAC